GTGTACTCTGTCCGTCTTCAGGAGACTGCGTAGGTTCAGCAGTCTCCTGAAGACGGACAGAGTGCACTGTTCGAAACGTCGAGTTATTCCCCGGTTCTTCTCAGAACCACACATACTCAAAGAAGAGATAAATACATGGTGTTACCGCAATCTTTACTATAGATCTACATCAGTGTTGCAAACTGTATAGGTCCACGTTGAATTTCGATATTTCGGTTGTTTTGCGTGTTTCGCCCTCAATGAATGAAAACCTCAGTGAATTCATTATTTTCTTTTATTTATAGGGGAAATGAAATTAGAATCCTGTACTTAACTTCACTGAGGCGATTCTATTGAAATCGTGCTTTATTAACACCTGGCAGCCTTTGTATTTGCAAAGTATTAGAGATTATCGAAATTGATCAAACGTTGTTAAAACGATGCCTGTGAAATACTTCTCTAACAGCCAAAGATGCAGGTCTCCATGATATATTAGTCCCTCCAATACCACTAGTTAAAGATTAATTGTTGTTGGAATGCAGTGTCCTTAGTAAAATGTTCCAACCGCATCATCCCAAAGGAAGAGCAGGCACTTTCAGGGGCTTGTGAAAATATCACAGCGGGCGATCCACGTCCTTTGATGCAGAGGAAATCAGTATGTATGTACAAACGATCCAATCTGAACAGTACAGTTAATCTAATGCTTGATATTCGGCATTTGGTAGGCCTGCATAATGAATTTTTGCAATTTACGTGTAGTTTGATGTTCGATATTCGACATTCGCGTAGTTTTGTACTTCGAAATGTGTGGTTTCAATTGGGAACTTGACATTCACTGAAATAAAATAAAAAGTGTGAACATTCGACATTCACGTAGGTTCAGTTGGACAGCGGTTTGTCAATGTCTCTGAAAGCCTTTTGCTATAAAATGTAATTGTTACTGTAGTTACTGTTACTGTGTTATTGTTACTGTGGCCGAAACAGCTTTTATTTTCGTTAATTTTTTCCTTTCCCCCCTGTTTTCCTTTTTCAGCCAATCAACTTTGGTATCATAACTAACAAGTTACAAGGAGCTACCCTAAGACTAAAAAGATACTAAATAATGACGTCGAGGTGACGCCATCGCGCGATTTATTTTTTAATTTTGAATATTTATTTTTTCTCCATAGGTTTTGTACACGTATTTCCAATACTCAATATTATCGATCTTAAAGAGAGTAGTCCTGAAATTTGGCAGTGGATTACCATGAGAATGAAAGAAAAATAATCGTTTTTCTTTTCGTCTTTGTTCGGTTACTAATATACCAAAGAGTCCAAATATGAAATATTTCATAATTTCTTTGAAATATAAACAAAATCACGTGACATGACTTTAAAGCTGCAGTTTTTCTCCACAGGTTTTGTGCACGTTTTCTAAAGTCAACGACTGGTGCACTCATACATCTGAGTGACTTTGTATTGGGAGCATTATCCATTAACCCGTGGGGCTGTCAAAATTAAATTGTCACGATGACGTCATCATTGGTCACGTGACATGAAATTAAAGTTGCAGTTTACTCCACAGGTTTCAAACACGTTTTTCTTCTACGCAATATTATCGATCATAAATGAGAGTATTCCTGATCTTCGGCTGAGGATTACTATGAGAACGAATGTGGAATTTTTCCCCTCTTAGTTTGCTTACAAATACTCGAGTCCAAATATCAAATAATATTTCACAATTTGCTTCAATATAAACACAAATCATGTGACATGACTTTAAAGCCGCAGTTTTTCTCCATAGGTTTTGTTCACGTTTTTCTGAAGTCAAAGAATGGTACACTCATACATATGAGTGACTTTGTATTGGGAGTATACACAGTCCATCAACCCGAGGGGCTGTCAAAATAAATTCGTCACGGTGACGTCATCGAAGTCACGTGACACGAGATTCAAGCCGTATACAAAACCTACGGAGAAAGACTTCGTTTTTTCGCTTCGCACTTTTATCGAGCTTATCAGTGGTGCGCTACTGTGAGACTTTCAGACAAACCAGAAGACCCTTTGCAGCTGGAAAATAAAAAACTCTGAAACAGCTCTGTGTTTGTCCACAAACACATCTCGTTAAGTTTAATTTTCAATATGTTTACTGCAATGAGTTAAGCGTACATGACAGCGTAACTGCCTTGTGTAAGTGCTTGTAAATTTATCTAAAAAAATATGTGTAACAATTTACAAAATTGATGTACGTATATAGCATGAAGTGATGTTAAATCAAACACATAAAGCTGTGCAGAGTTACGACATCAGTAACTTTTGGCGCATTTATTCTATTATTTTCGGCATTGATAAATAATCGACATTAGTCGTCTCCAATGCGCACAAAGAAC